CTTTTCCCAGTAGCTAATCTCTCAATATATAAGGCGGCTTCCAATTGGCTCTAATGTTTTTGAACACTGCCAGATGATTGGCTCGGCTAAAACAAAGGGAATTGAATATGCAGCTCGGGCACAGATCTGTGGCTCGGGTAAGCAGACGGTAGTATCACAGAGTAGAGACATATATGTCTTATCTACTCTGTGGTAGTATTTCGTCGCTTGGCGTAAGAACTACAACGTCTGTGAGCAGGCTACTCCGAATTCCTGCTATAGTAAAATTGTACAGATACAAAAAATATCCTTTACTGGAATATGTGTACATCAACAGTGATAGTTTAGTTTGCAGCTAAGTGTCCACGGGATCTTTGCTATCATTGCATTTATCTTGGGAAACATTTGTTCGTGATTGGTTTGCTTACGGCGTGTTATTAATTGTTTTTTTAGTTATGGCAACAAAACAAAAGTTTGTGTTCGTCTTCCTTTGCTGTTTGGTTTTGACAAGCATTATTGTGCCTGGGAATGCGCAGTCAAACGTGATCCGATGCCGACGTGCGTGTCTAGTGCAAGCAGGAATCCATCGAGCATTTTGTGCAACCATCACTAGACCTGTAATTCTCAGAAGAAGATGTTTAATTGCAGCAAATGCAGCACTACAAGCGTGTAGACTTTTCTGTGTGGTTCGTAAATAGTTTTCTGGATGACCATGGCTACCGGAAGACTACCTTGGTGAAGATATCATTGGCACTGGATAAGAAAAGACTATAAGCTACTTTCCTTATTATGACATTAAAAATCATTGGAGAAATAAGACTTAATATTTATAGTTTATAGACATTTTAAAACACGCAGTTTTGTAGGACATATATTAACCTTAGAAGCATGTAATCAAGTACATGTTCAAATAAAGTTTTCATTGAAGCAATGATGTTTTGTTGAAAAGCACACTATTCTTGACACTGATAAGTCTGATAACGTTTCCCCACTCGGCCCAGTCTTTCGCGCGATCTATATATTGTTGAGATCGACATGTTCCTAGCCAGAACTAGCCAGTGCTCTTACCAGAGGCATTCTCCCCCTGAAAACCGATTCAAAATGCCAGACGTTTATAGGGGTTGAATGCCTCTCGTAAGCGCACTGGCTAGAAACATGGCGAATGTCAGCCTAGGCTTTTTATTTTTATTTTTATTGATTTCTTAAATATTCAGCGCTTTTTCACATGAGAAGACTGGGACCTAGAAGACCAAAATTGACCAAACTTGCTAGGACTAGGTCTAGGCTGGGTGAATGTATTTTGAGGCAGCGTACGCGCTTTTTTGGCTTAGTTGGCCTTCTGTTACGTCTCCATTCTGCGCCATTGATCTACCCATTGTGGTGGAGCTCGCTTTAAGAATTTCGGAAGTTTTCAGAACGGATTTTTTTAGTCAGAAGTCGGGAAAATTTCTTTCTGCCCCCAATTTTTTCCCTCCCATACGACTATGAAAAAGACCTCAGCTTGGGAAACGTACATTTGTTTACTTATGCCTGTTATCAATTGTTTTATTAGTTATGGCAACAAAACAAAAGTTTGTGTTTGTCTTCGTTTGCTGTTTGCTTTTGACAAGCATTATTGTCCCTGCGAATGCGCAGTCAGACGTGATCCGATGCCGACGTGCCTGTCTTGTTTGCAATCGTATCTGTCGAGCATTTTGCCAAACCATCCCATCTCTAATTCTCAGAAGAAGGTGTATAATTGCTTGCAATTCATGGCTACAAGTTTGTCTAAGGTTCTGTCTCGTTCGTAAATAGTTTTCTGGATGAGGAAACCGGAAGACTACTTTGGTGAAGATATCTTTGGCAAATAAAACTATAAACTATGGCATTAAAATCATTGGAAGAATAAGACTTAATCTTTATAGTTTATATAGACATTATTGACACGCAGTTTAGTGTGAGACTTTAATCTTAGAAGTATTAGTAATGACTGGCATGATTAAATAAACTTTTCATTGAAGCAATCATTTTGTCCAGAAGTAACTTTACTATTATGAATGGAAATAAACTTTTCATTGAAGCAATTACGTTTTGCTGCCAAAAGCGCACTATTCTTGATACTGATAACATTTCTCCAGAGTTCACTCAGCCCAGTCTTCCGCGCGATCTATATATTGTTGAGATTCAATCTCGTTCCCCGAGCATGCCCGTTTGCAGGTTAAAGGTGGGCATAGATTCGATTTCTCCAGAGCTATGCCCACCCTTAACCTGCAAACGGGCATACTCGGGAACGAGATTGGTTGCGATCTCGACTTCGCGGCGATGTTTAGCCTGCTCGCAGCCCGAAATTTAGTTCAAAGGAAAACCAGAATTAAATAGCTTTGAACATGAAATAGCTTCGCCATGTTCAGAGCCTTACGCAAGGGACTCTGTCCCCCCTCCCCTCCCAAGAAAATGTTAACTTATTCATAATGTTAGCTTATAAAAAATCGTCATTAAAACTTTATTAAGCGAAATGGCGCTTGTAATCTTGTGAATCAGAATATACGATTCTATATGAGGTAGCAATAAGCATACATCTAACTGATATGGCTTTGAATGCATTTATCTTTGGGTACTGATTTCAGCATATAGGTATTACTGCCTTTTTAGTGAAAACATTCTGCGTTCGGCTCTGGCTTGCCTCCTCCAAGTACCACGAGATGCTTACGGAGGAGGCTAGGCTCTGGCTATATTGCAGAAGTATAAACAATAACAGGAACTCACTACGTAGCTCAGTTGGCAGAGCATTGGGCTAGTATTCCAAAGGTCGTAGGTTCGATTCCCACCGTGGCCAGGCATATTTTTCAAGCCTGCCCGGTGTGGATATACACTCAAAGTAACATCACACAAGCATCTTATATATTGACCTGAGTACACTACACCAACACAGCAAATATATCAGGAACTTCCATGTTTATCATGTTGTCACCCCCATTCCCTGTCAAGTGTCACCCCCACGCCATTCTGAGTGTGCCCACGCTTTGTCACAACCGCCCCCCCCCCCCCCCTTCGAGAGCCCCTCTTATCATATTCAACTCGTGTACTTAACAAAGTAACATAATTACAAAATGCTGTGCTGAGTGGTTATATTACTACCTTAAAAAATAAGCAGAAACTCGACGTTTCGAGCGAAGGCCCTTCGTCAAGAGTTAGTAGCTGACGAAGGGCCTTCGCTCGAAACGTCGAGTTTCTGCTAATTTTTTAAGGTAGTAATACAACCACTCAGCACAGCATTTTCACATTGGCATTTGGTACTACCTACACTGGTACAGACAGTTTTAACATAATTACAAACTAACTAGATGGCGCTTAGAACTGCATACCTCGCCAGCGAAAGTCAAGTATCTTGCATGATATCATATGCACTACTACGCATTCAGTGTCTTTCAGTCCAGAAGCGGAAGACAAACGTAATTTCTCATCCAATTTTTATCCAAATTGAAGGAAAGGGCCATTAGCGGCACCAATTTTCGTGTAAAACTCATTGATAGTTTCGGAGTTATCTGGTAATTGGGGTCGGTTGTGTAAAATATCTGATGACTATACCAATCTCGATGGAGCTAAAGTTTGGAATTCTTTACCTACAGATTTGTGTAATTCGCACACATTGTCAGCAATATACAAAAACGCGGGGAATTTGCTAAGAGAATTTTATAATACACTCTTTCGATAATTACGTCATCCTTAAGCCCGTTCTCCACTAGGCGAATTTGTTCGCGCGAACAGTAAAAAAAGTAGGAACTGATCCAACTTTTTCGCGGCGATTTTTTTCGCTGACCAATCACATTGCCAAGATTTGTTTTTCGCTTCGCGTCGCACGAAAAAATTCGCCTAGTGGAGAACTGGCTTTAGGTGGTCCTAAGTTGAAAACAGTGTAGTTGTGACGTAATTATCGAAAGAGTGTATTCTATAACTTGCATTTTGCTATTCAAATATATTTGTAACACAGCATTGGAGTTAGGAGGGGTAGTATCGTATATATGTATTTTTTTTTATAGATGTAACACACGCCCCTCGTCGAAATCAGCTCACAGTTGACGGGGCTAGCGTGTGATTTTTTAAATAAAGTTTTACTTTCACCTGCCGAGAACTTCATAGTTATTTTTGTTAATGTGTATACATATATAAGTATCTCCTAGAGTCCTAGTATAGTGCAAGCTAATTTAGGAGTGATATAAAATATATGTTAATTTGCATAGTCTGCGGTCATCACATCCATCTTTCCGGGGGGAGCGCAGACTTATGTTCGAAGCATATATATTTAATATTTACAAATTTACTGTAAAATGTCTGAAATAAATTCTTATAAAACTCTCGATTTAGTATCATAATTTTAGCTATTCAACGTTGCCCTTTATTAAAAAAAGATGTATAAATCGTTGTATGACTACACTGCAAGCGGTAAAACGCAACTAAGCATAAAAGAAGGCCAAACTTTCGAGTTTCTGGACGTATGCAATGAACACTGGTGGTCGATGCGATGTTATCAAAATGGAAAAGCCGGTCTTGTTCCGATAACTTATTTGACAGAAATAAAACAACAAACACATATGGTAAGCTTGGGTTGAAAGCTATTACTTTTGCCTATTTTTATTCAGTAAATAAAGTTTTAATTGTGTACAAGTTGTAGCCTTGTAGTGTTCAAACGTTATGTATTATTAATTAAATAGTGACATATTTTTTTATATGAAGTTAATAAAATATCAAATACGTCCAAGCTATGAAATTAAATTATTTGAATTATCCGTAGAGGTAGCGTAATTAGCTCTTAAGTTTATACAAAAAGAAATAAAGCATAAGTAGGGTGAATTTCAATTCTGTTTGAAGAGCAAAAGTTCCAAATTAAATTTTGAAACAAAAATTAGAATCATGACACATCGTGAAATTTAAATCGTTCAACTTCGCGACTCAGACGTCAGCAATATAAACGGTCAAGAGGTCAAAATGGCTTGAGAGGTTGTTGGAAAAAAAACTTGAAGGTATTTTACTGTAATAAGTTTATTAAATTTTGTTTACAGTAATTTTATTTGGGGTATTATATTTCTTATTTTCTGTTTAGTTTTTGCCCTACCACTTTAACATAATTTGCAAAAACCTCAATCTCACAGCATGAATTCTTATTAAACTTGTAACCAATTCCTCAAGAATACACCTTTTCGGGAAGCACGTCACTCTGGCTACAGAGCCTCGCTTTCATGTATGTGAGATTGGATAATGCTTGACATCTCAATTAGCCAAAACGAGGCTCTATAGCCAAGATGATATACTATTACTTTTCAGAAGTGTGAAAAGACAGTCATAATGAGATTCTTTTGTTTTAATACCACCGTAGCCGCCATGCAAGTGAAGTAGTTGGAAGTCGAGAATAGGTTAAACTTTGCTAAACATAGAATGATGACAATTTGCTGTAATAATTAATACATATTTTTTTATTTTTTTAATAGCAATTTCAGGAAATATTGCACTTGACCGTACTTGAGTAATCGCTGAATATCATGATAATATCCTATATACCTTTTTACTAGGAAGAGAAGAGTTCAGTGCTTGAGTCGATTGACCGAGCTATTGATGCCATTTATAAAACTTCAGCTTGCAGGTCAGGAGAACTCGACCACAAGCAACGAATAAAGTTACAGTAAGTTGCATGAGTATCATAAAAATTAGAGACAGCCTTGTATTAATGCCCAACAGATTCCCTTTGACAAATAGGGCACATCGAGTCTTGATGGATTGTAACCAATTTTTCCATTCCACAGGAAATTAATTGAACATCGTAGAAAGGTTTATTCAAACTATCTGAAAGAAAAAAGTCCTTCAACCAACAAGCAGTCATCAAGAATGGGAGCAACACACTCTTCTGAATCCAACATCCCCCGACAGCCAAACCGACCTGCTCCCGACCCCCCTGGAGGTGGCAAGAAGAGAAAAGCTCCAGAACCTCCAAAACAAAGCAACATTCCTTCGACGATCGGAAGTGAACTTGTCGAACAAATACGTATAAGGTGAGGTATAATTTTTGGCATGATGCCACTGGGCTGTTTGTATTCAATTTCAGTCTGCATTTTGTGGTTTTGACTATATATAGCAGATTTTACACTTGAATGTCAGCTAAGCAGCTCACCAGGCCAAAGTAATTGTTACATGTTTACATTATTTACATTGCCACATTAGTTTTGACCAGTGGCATAGCCAGCCCCTGTCGAGTGGGGGCAGTGGCGCTGTGGGACCCATGTTTTCTTGGGGGGGGCATGTTTTTGGGGGGCCAAGGGCAGTACTTTTCCGACAAAATACAAAATTTTTCCGGCAAATCAAAAATTTTTCTGGACAACAACATTTTAAATCTTCACCCCCCCTGTCGACAACTTTGACAATTTCCCACAACATTGACAATTTTCCGACAGGCCTCAACAATAGGGGTGGCCTTGGCCCCCTGGTCCCCCCCCCCGGCCACGGTGCCACCTAGTGGGGGTCCAATCGAATACACAGAACAATCTATTTATGGTTTGCAAAACACAATTTCATGCATTTTAGATACAGTGTTTGGTATCTTTTATGTCTGAGCTGAATGCGTTTTGAGGTTACACCCGGCCCCACCCCCCCCCCTTGGTTTTTCTCAGTTTTGTAAGAATTACAAAATTGGTCCTGAAGAAAAATGGGGGTCAGGACCCTTCCATTCCCCTCCATGACTTCAAGACATTGGGCCAGGCTTGAGTTAACAATTGGCTTTAGTGCCCTCAGATTTTCTGGCCTAGATCAGGTTTGTTTACATGACTAAAATGTAGGCTAATGCAATACTGGGCTCGGACCAAGCCCAGGCTGCATAATAATTGATAAAATATCAACTTTTAGTACTGGTCTTACTCATGCAAAAAGTATCACTGCAGTGGAGACTGTTCTCATGCATCTACGTCATCGAGCTCCAACTATCTCGAATGAAGCTGATTATATCTTAGAGTCCCTGTATTATTCTCAGGTGATTATATATAAACATGGCTCCATAAATGTTTGCCTATGATTATTATGTTTGAGCTATCTATGTAGTTTTTTATTAATTATATATAACCCTTTAAGTGGCAATAGGCGAGCACTGCTTGCAGGAAATGTTAAACAGCTGCAGGAAATTTGTTATTGAAAATTTGACACCTATGTCCCAGTATGGGCAAAACAACATATGGTTGACAGACATTATTCCTTGAATTTAAAATCATGCATGGTCATGCAGATTTAGAACAAAAATACTCTGTTGATCTAGGTTGTACTCCTAGGAAGAAAATTCTTTTTTCCTGCCTACCCATGCATCCTGTTAACCTTTTAATTTAAGCACTTGGCAATGCAGCTAGCACCCTGATGAGCCCTACTCTAATTGGCACTCAATGGGTTAATTATTATTATTATTATTATTAATTTATTTCGCCCAATTTTCCAAAGTACAATAAAATTTAACTATTTACATTTTTATAATCTATACGTAGGGCTAGAGATCTTTTAGAAACCCTTTTGGGCTTTTATTGTAAGACCCCTAGTTATAACAGAACTTTATTTACTTAGTATAATTTCATGATGTCATAAAAATAGTACATAAAATAATAACGAAAATATGTACAATTGTGAGAGTGTTTAAAGGAAAGTTAGTCTATTTACAAGATTTTTCAGATTTTTTAAACTTTATACATTAAAATAGGATGATTAATTAGCTGATTGGTGTGATATAAAACAGAATTAGTGGTTTTAGTACAGAATCTGTACTAAAACCACTAATTCTGTTTGGGATTGGCGCGGTTTAATCAAAGAATCTCCCTGTTGAACCAGAGCCTTCGCGACGTTTCAATTTATTATTTACTGTCGAAGGCTCTGGAATCCAGGGTATCATTTTGCATTACGCAGGGGAAATTGATAGCTCAATACCCTTTGGGGCTGTCAATTTACCGTTTGTAATAGAAAATGACTGAAAATCGGCAAACTTCGCAAGGCTATATTATCCGCATTTTACAACATTTCGCAACGAAACTTTGGAATATTACTAATTTTGTGATGCTCTTTCAAGCTGTGATGAAATTTTTATCTAGACTTGTTGAGATCAAAATTTAGTCTATAATGCAAATGTTCCATTGACTGTGTGGAGATTTTTATGCCTGTCAGTGGCCCTGTTTTAACATTTATGGCATGTGAATTTTAAACATGTAAAATAATATGAACAAGCTTTCATTGGTTAGGGATGCCTGAAAAACTACTATACCTGGAAAATATAAGGAGAATTTCGACGTTTCGATAGGTTTATCCACTTGTATGAAAATTTTTATATTATTCTAATTTTGCAGGAGAATTCATCCAATGTGTCGGAAGAGGAACTCTTGTCCACTCATGATGGGAGGAGTCTACACGCTCTTGTACAAGAATTAGTGAAGTGTAAGGAAGACTCGCAACAACGTAGTTGGGCACTGCATGAAGACGAGGGTGTAATTACAAAGTGCTTGACAGATGTCATATCTATAGTGGTGAGTAGATTTTTATTGGTGGATTTCGAAAAAGCATTGCCAGGGAGTGAGACTAGGTAGAACGCCGATTGTTGGTATCAGTTAATGTACAGCAAGAGAGCCTATCACCTTTTCGCTTGTCTGCCAACAAACCATCAACAAGGAAGTTGTGTTTGCACTTCCATCAAGCTTGTTATAAGTTGTTAACAGCTTGTTCCATGCAAACTTGTTCCAACAACTGGGAACAAACAGTGCGAACACAACTTGCCGACAGCTTGTGAACAGCTTTGTAACAACTTTAAAGTTTGTTCGTTCACTGCAACCAGGTATATCAATAGGGAGCTTTAGATTTGACTACGAGTACGACTACGAGTACGAGATTCGTCAAGCTAAACGTCACGGTCGTCACCTGCCAATGAGATGCATGTATTCCTCTGGCAAATAGGCACCGTCATCCCTATTCAAAGCATGATTACTCATATTTATGTGCCACGCTTCTAGGCAAAGTCTTTGACCATAGCGATTGTTTGTGGTAATATATTACTTTAGAGTTTCCGTGTACCACAAACAATCGCCATGATCAAAGACTTTGCCTAGAAGTGTGGCACATAAATATGAGAAATCATGCTTTGAATAGGGATGACGGTGCCTATATTTGCCAGAGGAATATATGCATCTCATTGGCAGGTGACGTCATCCCTTGGGTATTTAAGAAGCCACGATCACAGTTTTAGATCACTCCTGATGAAGACACTAGACTGTAGTGTCGAAACGTTGGGTCTTGATTACAATTCGACTGGGCTTTGTAATAATTTATTTAAACCAGAGTAGCGAGCGAAACATGTTTGTAACAACTTGTTTGCAGACTTGTAACAACTTGTGCGTTTTTACGTGTGTAGACCAGCGAGATGTTTTGCCTATAGTTGCATTTTCTGCAGCCACTCCTGGTCATTTAATAAAATTTACAACTTGTAAAAGTGTAAATTTACACTGGAAATTTCTATCTAAAAAATCCTTTATCCTTGATGATCACTTTCAGAATGGTGCGAATCCACATGTATGCTTGGCTGTGATACGTCAAGATTCATATGATGGTCTAAATGCTTTGGTTGAGTACTACCAAATGGTAAGTCATAGCCTTATGGTCTGAAATTTGCAGTATCCCGATGTCCACAGATACTAAAATTTGGTTTTGGATACCAAACTGTGAACAACTTGTATTATTATTGTATTGTATTTCGACTGATATTACAAAATTTCAAACAATAAAATAATGCTAAATGTCTCCGGTGGTCGCCCAATAGCTTAGGTTTCCAACTAGATGTTTTAACTAAATATTTGATGCTTTATTTCTTGAGGAAACTAGGACGTCATTACGTCATCTTTTACTGCAAGTATTTTCTGGATGTTGTAGTCTCGGACCAGAGGTAGTCTCACAGTTACTCTGCACCATTCTCCCTGTGGAACTGGCGAGGGACATGCAAGCTGACATTAAAAGTATGGAAATATGTAAATTGTACAAGTTGGTATACCCCTTTCAACAACTACGAGAATTAGAATATAACTGTAACTTTCAAATTTCAATCGTCCAACTTTCATGGACTTGCATCAACTTTGAACTCATGGTAATATACTGCGATCAATTATCATACAACTCTTGTTCCTTGCCAGGCCTAGAAAATATATTTATCTTCCGGGCAGCAAAATTCAAAAATTAAAATTTCCTATGTAAGGCAAATATAAAATGTAAATTTCAAAGAACATGTGGACTATGATGCCGCACATCTCACTTGCAAAATGCCTAATTTGGAGTTTTCAAACAATAAGTAAATTATATGGCATTCCTGTATACAAGATGACAAAAATTTCCTACAAAGTGCAAGAAAATTTCCTGCGAAGATATTTTGTTAAACATTTCCTGGCAGCGGTGCTGCTGGCGCTGCCGGACATTTTCCAGCACTGTTCCTTGCTTAAACGAGCCAATGAGAGTAGAGGAAATTCGCGTCTTGGAGGAAACGCGAAAACTCAAGTCTTGTCCCAGATTTGCTTCATTAAATGTTTCTTTATCGACACAAAGCAACTATCAAAACTTCTTAACTACCTTAATTTACGCCTGTATTCTAAAAGCTCACTCACACTCAAAGAGTGGAAGTTCAATCTGAGCTTCCCTTGAGTGTCAGTGCTGTTTTTGAATAGCTGGGGGGGGGGGTGTGAATAGTCGCATAGTAAGGTACGACATTAACAGTCAGCATTGACACTAGCCCCATTGACACTACCCCTAGCTAGTCAGCATTGACACTACCCCTATTCACATTAGAGACGGACAAGTCGTCTAGACGAACAAATCGTCTCTCAAAAATCGTCTTCACAGACAGACAAGTAGTCGAACAAATTCAGACGACTTGTTCGTCTAAAATTTTGTCCGACACGTTTTCACATCTGATGATTTGTCCGACTAAAAGACGATTTTGAGACGATTTGTTCGTCTAGACGACTTGTCCGTCTTCTAATGTGGAAACGGCTACTCAAGGGAGACTCGGATTGAACTCCACTCTTTGAGTATAAGTGTGAGTGAGCTTTTAGAATACGGGCGATAGTTAACTACATTTGACCACATGGGCGTACCGGAAGGAAAAAATTAGGGGGGCGGAAAGAAAATTGCCCGACTTTTCGGGAT